CTATATGTGGCAGTGTGTGCATGTGCGCTGGTGTACAGGAGAGTGTGCACGCACACGTGAGTGTACGCGTGTGTACCAGTGTGCGTGAGTGTGTGTGCACGTGTGAAGTGCATGTGTGCACGCACGTATGAGATGGTGTGAGTGTGTGTGTGCGCACATGCGCCTGTGTGCATGGGCGTGCATGCACGTGTGAGTGCACGTGTGTGCAGCCACACTGCCCTGTGCACTCCGATCTGTGCCAGAGTGGTCCTGGGCACACATCCAGCACGCAAACCTGGCTCTTCGCAAAGCCCGTCGCCCTCCCTGGGACCTCATTCTCTCCTCTGTCCGTGAGCGTTATGTGAGGCCATCACGTGTGTGTCAGCCTCTGACAGGCTCAGACATGTTTGCACCGACTCTCTGTCATGGGGAGGATCCGGGAGGTGTATACGCGGTGGGCACAGGGAGGTGGACTGTCTTGGAGCTGCCCTGGTCTGTCTGTGTCTGTCTGTGTTAGGGCACCGGAGGGACGGGTGCTCTCTGTACCACTGTGTGTGCTGTGCACCTGGGCAGGGAGGGCAGAGGTGGGGAGCTGGTCCCAAGGAGCCCAGGGTCGCTGCAGAGGTATAGGGGTGATTTGCCAACCTCAGACATGGCCGGGGGTGGAGTGTGTCGTGCCTGCCGCAGGCTCATGGGCTACGACCCCGGTGCAGGCTTCTTTCCCTCACTCAGCCCAGGACCTCCCGATACCCGCACGGGGCGGGCAGCAGCTGGGAGATGCAGGGGAGTCAGGCCTCTGTCCTTACCAAGAGCACTCACCCTCATCATGAGCCCAGATGCCATCTGCTGTGTCTCTAGCAGGTGGGATCTGCTTTCATGCAGCAGGGCCCCCTGCCACCCATGCGGCATGGCAGGACCAGAGGGCTGTAGGCAACAGGGGCACCCAGAAAGTCCTCGTTCACCCTGCTGGAGTAGAGGCGCTGACCTGCCTAAGCAGCATCCATCAGGCTGACCTGGTACCCAGCCCGCAGGGGCCCACACCCTTGGCACTTGGAAGGTGCCTGGGAGCCCTGTCTGTTCAGGGAGGACCCCCTCTGCTGACCTTGACTTTCCAGCCTGTCCGAGCCCCATGGAAAGTGCGATTTCAAATGCATACTTCTTTCCATTTTAGAGGCCTGTTGGGGTGTCACACACTGGGTGGGGTGGGGACCCCCAATCTGGAGGAAATGGAGGGGCCTCCATGAAGCAGAGTAACAAAGAAATCCATCCAGACCGGCTGGGCTGTTTCTTGTCCCTCGGGGCGGGACCCACGCCAGGTGGCTGGCATTGTAGGACCTGCTTCCCAGCCTGCTGGAGATTTTTGCTGCCGGCTCTTTGGGCTTCCCAGTCTGCATTCCCAGAGGAGTTGCGTGGGACAACTTTGCCTTTTGTTTCCCCCGCAGACCATGCTTGAACATGGGGGGCTCTGGGCAGTCTGGTGTCCCTCAGACGCACCAACCCCTGGCCGCAGGGAGCGCCCACCCAGCCCGCCAGGGAGGAGAGTGGCTGGGAAGGAGCACAGAGAAACGGCGCGGGAGCTACTCACCGTGGGTCCCCACGAGGGTAGCGGCAGCGTTGGCGAGTGTGCTGTGGTGACCCAGGCAGAGCCAGCTCGCCCCTTTTATAACCTGAGGAGGAAGCAGCCCGCCCCCCAGATGCCCCCCTCTCCGCCTCCCCCTCCCTCCCAGGGCAGCATCAAGACAGAGTCTCCACGGTTTTTCTTTCTTCTATTTTTTTAAAAACTCATCAGCGACGTGATTTGTCCCTTCCTGGGTTATATAATTGCATTTGGGTCGAGTGGTTTTAAAACACATTAGCCTTCCTTCTTCGTGCTGGCCCTTGGGCAGACGGCAAAGGTAGCTGGAGCCCTCGGCCCGGCTTCACTGCCCTCGGTCCCCGCCGGGTGACACGCAGACCAGCCTCATCCTGTTTCTGTGACGCGCACCATGCTTTCTCCTGGGCCTTGCACAGTCTTCACGACTGATGTGTAGAACTAGCAAGTTTGTTACTATTATAAAACAAATGAATTACTTTTTATTATAATTTTTATTATACAATAATAAATTTGTATTATAAAAGCGATTTATATACATTGGGGAAGAATTCAGTGCATATGGTAAAACGAGGGGGGAAAAAGCACCAATAATGTGGAGGAAGCCAGTCATTCAGCACATGTGATGTATCTCCTTCTAGTGGGGTAGCTCCCCGCACATTTTCTGGGTACATTCCCTGGATGTCCACATTTTGAATCTTATTGCTTTCATTCAACAGTCATGCCCTCAAGTTGTTAAAAAAACCCTGTGGATTGATGCCATTTGAAATAGCTGCATAACACTCTGCCGTCTAACTGGGACTTAAGAACCTAACTCATTCGTATTTGCAATTACAGAGGGTGTGAAGGTTTTGTACGGGCTGTTGTGTGCAGTGTTAAGGAGCCCCTCCCAGGGAAGAGGCCTCCTAGTGGCTCCCCTCAGATGAATGTGGGGGGACAACCCCCCGCTTCTTGCCTCTGTCAGACTTCTAGCGAAAGCTTCAGGGTGCACCTGACCCCTCAGGGGATCGGTCTCACGCACTTCTCCCTTGTCCCACGGCTGCCCATTCCTAGCGATGAAGGTTCTGTGGGCTCCCAGGACGATTGGGGGCCCGGGGGCACAGATGAGGGGGCACAGTGTAAGGAGCATGGGGGTGGAGGGCAGGTGGGGGGCTTCTACCCTGAGCTGTGGGGTAAGGACACCGGAATTCCTGGGGCGGCCGTGCTCAAAAGCTCCTGGCCCTCCTAGTGAAGAGTAGTGATGGTGATGCAGGACGCTGTCGTGGGGTGCGGTCCTATCTGGAGGGGGGTCCCCTGGGTGGTCCCCACAGATGTGTGCACAGTCCCAGGGCCCCCTGGGGCAAGAGAAACGGAGATCACAGGAGCCCTGGGAAGCTTCCTGGCCATCACTGTGGGAGTGTGTGTGTGTTTGCACGTATGTGTGCAGACGTGTGCACGCCTGTGCACGTGTACATGTGGGTGAGTGCGTGTGCACGTGTGTGCACGTGTACACGTGGGCGAGTGCGTGTGAGTGCGTGTGCACGTGTACACGTGGGCGCGTGCGTGTGCGTGCGTGTGCACGTGTACACGTGGGCGAGTGCGTGCGTGTGCACGTGTGTGCACGTGTACATGTGGGCGAGTGCGTGTGCGTGCGTGTGCACGTGTGTGCATGTGTGCGGGGGATAGTGAATCCTCCCTTATCAGCTAAGTAGCTCTGTCCCAGCGTGGCGTTGGCGCCTTGCCACTGTGGGGGTCCGCCAGTAGGTGAAGGCCGGCAGGGGGGCTGGGAGGCTGCACGGCCTCGCGGCCTCGCTCCCACCTGCCCTCCCGTCCTTGAACCCTCCGGTGCACAAGCGTTCAAAGCCCTCCACTGTCCTGGCCCTCCTCCACCCCCCACCCCCCACCCCGGCACACTTGTCTGTCAGGGGTTGGCTAACCTTATCAGCTCTGCGGGCCGGAGTCCCTGCTGCAGCCACAGGCCACCCCGAAGTGACCGTTGGTGGCTGGGCACCTGTAGGGACTTTTACAAAACCAGACTGTGGGCTGGATTGGGCCCCTGGGCGGCAGTGGGCTGCCCCTGTATTTCCAGCAGGAAGATGACTCACTGTAGGTGTGGGCGCATCATAGAGGGAGGCCCTCAGACCCTTGTGGAGAGACCACAGTCTGGTTTCTTGAGGTCGCAGTGACCATGTGTGGGATCAAATGACCTGCTCCCCTTGCTAGTTGAGCGGGGGGCTTTTCATCTGGATCTGGCAGCCCCACTCTAGGTCGGCCAGCGCCTGGGATGCATGTGGCCCTGTGCACCCTGTCTCTGTGTCTGGAACCATGAGCTATGGCCACTGCAGAGACAGTCAGGACTGGGGCTGGAGAGGCCGCTGGAGGCCGCCTGCCGAAAAGTCTGCTGAGCGGTTCACAGTCATGAGGGATGCCTCAGAGAGGTCACAAGGGCATGGCTGCCACAGAGCCTCCCCTAGCCCTGCCCTTTCTGAGGCTGGGTCTTGGGTTCCCACTCTCCTGACGGAAAGTGCCATGAGTCTCACACACTCTCTATCTCACTTGGGCCGGTTTGAGTGGATTCCACTCCTTGAAATTAAAGGATCCCACATTGATGAGACCTTCATGAGGGGCTCAACTGTCCCTGTTCTTCACGTTAGCATGATTAAGACGACCACACTTTTGGAGTGAACTGGATGCTTTTGAGATCTTTGAGCTTTTACCCTCAATAAGGTGGGTCTCCAGGCATACTCAGCGGGTAGCATGATGATGGGTGGCTGTTTTGGGGTTTGGGTTTTAGACCATAATGGTGCAATGGGTTGAATAGTGTCCCTCCAAAATTCATGTCCACCAGGAACCTCAGAATGTGACCTTATTTGGAAATAGGGTCTTTGCGGATGTAATCAAATTAAGATGAGGTCATGCTGGAGTAAGGTGGGCCCTGAATGCAGTCACTGGGGTCCTTATAGGAAGAAGACAGACCCTCAGACACATCAGGGGAAGGTGCTGTGAAGACAGAGTTAGAGATGGGAGTGACATGGCCACAAGCCAAGGACTGGCAGCCACCAGGAGGTGGCGGGGAGGGTGACAGGGCTTCTCCCTCAGAGCTTCCGGAAGGACCCGGCACTGCTGGCATCTTGAGCCTGGACTTCCGGCCTCCTGGGCTGTGAGCGAGCAAATTTCAGTTGTTCTCATCCACCCTGCTTGTGTCACTGTGACATCAGCCCCAGGAAACGGATGCTGTGCTCTGTGGGAAGAGTGACTGATGAAACACTACTTCCTGGTGCTTATTTCTAGAAGAAACTAGTCCTTGTGACTTTGGCCTGTGTGTTTTAAATATGGTATCCTTCTGGAGGCCCAGAAAGACAGGCACAGTGTGACAGGGAGGAGGCGGCCTCGGGGACTGGGAGTCAGCAGCGTCCTAGCAGCAGCGGGACCGTGGCGAGTGGGGCCTTCGGTCAGCGGCAAAGCTGCTTCTGACATGGAAGGCTTCTGAAAATCCAAACGCTTAAAAAAAATTTTTTTTTTTACTTACAATCAATTTAACTCACGTAGAGTGTAACATTGGTTCCAGAGGTAGGGGTCAGTGATTCGTCAGTTGCATACAAGACCCAGCGCTCGTTCCGTTAAGTGCCCTCCTTGATGCCCATCCCCCAGTTACCCCATTCTCCCCCTCCCCCTCCCCTCCAGCAACCCTCGGTTTGTTCCCTGTAGTTAAGAGGCTCTTATGGTTTGCCTTCCTCTCTGTTTTTATCTTATTTTAATTTTCCTTCTCTCCCCCTATGTTCATCTGTTTTGTTTCCTAAGCTCCACATATGAGTGAGGTCATAGGGTATTTCTCTATCTCTGACTGACTTATTTCACTCAGCATAACACCCTCTAGTTCCATCCATGTGGTTGCAAATGGTAAGATTTCATTCTTTTTGATGGCTGCATAATATTCCATTGTGTGTGTGTGTGTGTGTGTGTGTGTGTGTGTGTGTGTGTGTGTGTACCATGCCTTCTTTGTCCATTCATCTGTGGATGGACATCTAGGCTCTTTCCACAGTTTGGCTATTGTGGACGTTGCTGCTATAAACATCGGGGTGCATGTACCCCTTCAGATCCCTACATTTGTATCTTTGGGGTAAATAGCCAGTACTGTAACTGCTGGGTCATAGGGTAGCTCCATTTTTAACTTCTTGAGGAGCCTCCATACCCATTTCCAGAGTGGTTGCACCAGCTTGCATTCCCACCAACAGTGTAGGAGGGTTCCCCTTTCTCCGCATCCCTGCCAACATCTGTCGTTTCCTGACTTGTTAATTTTAGCCATTCTGACGGGTGTGAGGTGGTATCTCATGGAGGTTTTGATCTGTATTTCCCTGATGCCGAGGGATATTGAGCATTTTTTCATGTCTGTTGGCCATGTGTATGTCTTCCTTGGAGAAATGTCTGTTTATGTCTTCTGCCCACTAAAAATCCAAATTCTTGAGAACATTTTAAAGGACTCATCTTTCAGTTAGAAAGCCGTTTCCCAAGTATGTGTCATGTGGGAAGCGAAGTTCCCGAGAGCTGAGATCAAGTTTTAGTGAGAGATGAGCAACGTTGGGAGCATCTTCCTGCCCCGAGAGGCAGTGGCTCTGGGAACTTGGCATCGCATTTGTGGTCAACGGAAATGGTGTTCTCCAACGCTTGCACGTGACTCCCACCCAACTGATTTCTGAGTTTTCAGTGTGGGAAATATTAGACACAGCTATTGGGAACTGTGCATGAGTCAGTTTTCTCCAGAGAAAGGGCACCAATAGTGTGTGTGTGTGTGTGTGTATGTGTGTGTGTGTGTGTGTGTGTGTGTGTAGAGATTTAAGGAACTGGCTCATGGGATTGTGGGCCTGGCAAGTCTGAAATCTACAAGGCAAGATGACAGGCTGGGGACCCAGGGAAGAGATGATGTTGCAGCTGGAGTTGGAAGGCAGTCCTGGGGCAGAATTCCCTCTTGGGAGACCTTTCTCGCTTAAGGCCTTCACCTGATTGGATGAGGCCCACCCACATTACAGAGGAGAATCTGCTTTACTCAAAGGCTGCTAACTGTAGTTGTTAATCACACCTAAAAACTATTGTCACAGCAACATCTAGACTGGTGTTTGGTCAAACGTGAGGGCACCATGACCTAGCCAAGCTGATACATAAAGTTGATCATCACAGACTGTTATAAGGGTTTGCAGGGATGTAGTCAAATGCTACTTTCTCCAGCATGACCCTTGCCTTGGGGTTCTGAGCCCGGGCACTACTGAGCTGCAGGTGTGGAAGTACTTGGGCGGTCTGAGGGGACTTGGCTTGTTTAGCTACCTGCAAGGCTGTCTCTGGGCAGACTTCGCTGGAGGCGTCTGCAGGGGATTCTCGGCAGCAAGAGAGGGTAAAACCCTACTTTCCAGAGCCGGCTCCTTCCTGAGAAGCCATAGCTGTGGGGGCAACATCCGGAGTGGGTTTCACCTCCGTGCCAGGGAATGCACCTGCAGGAGTTTTAAGTTGGAAGCGAATATACGGAGGGATGTCCGGAGCGATGGACAGGCTTGCTGGTTGGGAGATGATGCTGACTGTTCTTGTTGCCTTAGCTTGTCCACATTTTCTATTTTCTTCCCAACAAAACACAAAGACAGCCCATAGGTCATAATAATTCTGTGCAAAAGCAACTTTGGTGCTATGAGTTTAATGGGCACGTGTAAAGTTCACTTGGCTGGCCCGCGTGCTGGATGCCAGGCATCTGGGGATCAGAAAGCAAGCACCCAAGAATCCCATCCTGTTTTCAGGGTGGGTTATCTGGCCCCCTGTGAAGTGGGTGCTTCCACACCGTGCTGCCGAGACCTACAGAAATCGTGGCTCACTATATCACTGCGGTGGAAGAACCCTGACCTGGGGGTGGCTTGAGGCCTGATGCGCTGGGGACCTCCTGGGAGGCTGAATACTTCCCCAGCCATCTGCTGGGAGCTGGGTGTGCTGTGGGTGTCTGGGCCTGGACCGCAACGTGTCAGATGCAAGGTGATCTGAGCAGAGTGCCTCCCGCTTCCCGCTCCAGACTCACTTGAAACTCTGAGGGATCTTCGGGAGACCCGTGCATTCAGCTCCTCATGAAGCTTTTCCTCTTTTCCCTGATAAAGAAGACTGTTGGAGAATACAACTCTGGAGAAATTTTAAATGCTAACTCTAATATCCATCCGGAGTCATAACAAAAACCACCAACTTCTCTTGCTCTTGGTTAGAAGCAAGTGAGTGCCAGGGTCACTGGTCCCTGACCCGTCTGTATTCAGCTTCCAGGAAGGATGTCTCAGGAATGACCATCTGCTAGAAAAAGAGACTCAGGAGAATTCTTCCAAATACTGGAATTTATAGATAGCTTGGGGAATTAAATATGAAAAAAATCGCCTCTTATTTGAGGCCATGGGGAGCTGTTGGCACAGGCTCCCATATCTCCTGAAGATGCAGGGTACCTGCCTCCCAGCAGGACTCAAACCTTCGCTCTGAGTGAGAGACTGGATGGAGAACAGCCTGGGGAAAGTCCCACTCAGAGGGGGCAGGAAACTCTTCCCCTGGTCACCCCTTGGGGACCAGGCCAACTCTTGTCTCTGCTGCCTGATTCCCAAGGAAGCCCTCCCCAGAGCCAGGGATGCAGCCTCCGGGCTCTGTCTGGGCTGTGAGGAGTAGTGTTAGCCCTGGAAAGGCTGGCACGGAGTGGGCACTTTGGGGGCTTAACCATTATAGCCACGGGGAGCCCACAGGTGTGGGGTTGTCTTGTGCTCAGGCCCGAGTTATTGCTTGGTGAGGTCACACGCACAGCCGTTGTTCCCGAAGCTTTCTGCTGTGTCAGTGCGCAGGCTGGGCCCTGGGGCATCTGGCCGTGGCCACTCTGCGCCCGGTCACCCCTCTCCCCCTCCCCCATCTCCCTTCCCTGAACTGAACTGGCGGAACTGGAGGTTTACTTGCACAAAATGGGTCCTCTGGCCTTGATGGGGCAGGGAGCGCTAAGTCTGCTCCTAGGTGAAGTAAGGACAGGCACCGGGGAGTGTCCATGGAGGCGGGGGCTGGGAGGACGGGGGAGGGGGGCAGCTGGCTGTGCGGTGGGCCGCAGGGTGGAGCAGGGAGGGAGGCCCGTTGCCCGTGCTGCGCTCAGAAGGGAAGCGTGTGCCTGCGCCCAGGGCTCCCTGGGCGGCTGAGGGGGAGGCCGCTCCCCTGAGTGTGCAGCGCCCCTTCTGCCGGCTCCATGCTCTCTTTTAGGGTCTGGGTGGGGGGTTCCACTCTGTCAGCAGACGAGGTTTCCAAACTTAGCTAGAGCGGGCTGAATGGTGGCTCCCCAAACTCTCACCCTTGCTCCTGGACCCTGTGAATGTGAACTCATTTGGGGAAAGGGTCCTTGCACATGTAGTTAGGGTAAAGACCTCCAAATGAGACGATCACCCTGGATAATCGAGATGGGTCCTAAAGCCAATGACAAGCATCCTCATGAGAGAGACCTGAGACGGACACAGAGGGCCACGTGAGGACGGGGCCGCCACCTGGAGTGAGGCAGCCACAGGCTCAGGACGGTGGGAGGCCCCGCGGCTGGAAGGGGCAGAGAAGGGAGTCTGTCCTGGAGCTTCTGCAGGGAGCTGGGCCCTGCTGACCTGCTGATTCTGGACTCCTGGCCTCCAGCACAGTGGGAGAGTCAATTTCTGGTGGGAAGCAGCCCAGATTGTGATCCCTGGTTAGAGCAGCCACAGGGCCCATGGCGATCTGGGCGGGCTGCCATCCCCTACTCCAAGCTGTAACGTCTTCAGTGTTTGCCAAGACCGTGCTAATGTGGGGCGACGCGCCTCTCTCCGAACACGTGGCGGGTGGGTAGTGCAGGGGCGGAGGGTGGCGGAGAGCGTGGGGCGGGGTGTGTGTGTGTGTGTGTGTGTGTGGCTGGTGGGAGGGCAGACTCGAGAGAAGCTGGTGTGCAGCCCTTGCCCTGGCCAGCCCTGCTGCAGGAGTCAGGGAGTTGGCAACCCCTCCCGTAAGGGGTCGGATGGTAAATACTCAAATGTGTTGTTGCAGCACAAAGACAACCCCCAGACAACGAAGCTCATAGATGCGGCCAGACTCGCAGGCTCAGGCCTAGACCATGGGCAGTGTCCTTGGGGGGAAGCAGGAGCATGCGCTTTGGAGAAAGGAAGCCTGCTTTGGATGGGGTCCCCCAAACCGACAGGCCTCTCAAGGTTCCCGGGTCGCAAAGCTCGCGGTCCAGGGTCTGTGTGGCAGTGCGGTGGGGCTCTGTCCACCATCGGGGGGAGATGGGCTCGCCCCCTTAGGCTCCTGGGTACCACTTCTCCATCTGCTTTTGGTTCCCAAGTTCATTTGCACACAAACACCAAGCAGTTTAAGAGAGAAAAGTTACAGCTGATCCAAGGTCACTTTAGAAAGTATCAGGATCACCTGGCAGTTTCTCGCTCCAGGGGAGGCTGCCTCACACTCGGGGCTCAGTGTCCTCCTCTACAAAATGGGCTTTAACTTAATCCAAAGATTAAACATGTGAGTCCCTGTGAAGCACGTAACAGTGCTCAGTTGGGGAGGGGGTGCAATTACAGCTACTTGTTCCAAGCGGCCCCGAGGGTCCCAGCGGGCTCCCCTGAAAACCGGATGAGCCACACAGACACCCAGAAGTAACCGTGAATCCCAGACTGTCCCAGGTGGAGGAGGGACTTGGAGCTCACCCACAGCACGGACGGCAGGTGCCCAGCAGGCATCCCTGGTTGGTCCTGGCCCCGTCCCGCTGGATGTCACCACAGCAGCGGCAGCACCAGGCCGGACCCCACCCTCCTGCCTGCATGTCCTGGGCTCCAGCATCCGCCTCTCCCACAGGCCCTCCGCGCCTGCGCCTGGGCATCGACCCAAGGCTCACCTGCCGCCACGTGCTCGCTCTGCCCTTGACCACAGTGTAATTCCTCCTGGGCTGTGAGCTACAGGTGAACCCACAGAGTAGCTGCGAGGGGGTCGGGGGGTCAGCTGGCCATGAGTTCAATCACTCGTCGGGATGCCGGATTTCCTTGTCCGACAGCACACGCGTGCACACGTGTGCACACACAGGCACATGCACGCGCACATGCGCACACACGCCCACGCACACAGGCACTCTGACACCGCGTGGAATACACACAGAGCAGGTGCTGCACCGAGCCAGCAGGGAAAGGGCTAAAAGATCACACTGAAAGTGTTGTTCTTTGTGTCCTTCAGAGTTTAACGCCGCCCTAAAGGAAAGCCAGGTCAGCTTAGATGTTTCTCACGGATCAGAGTGGGTCGGCAGGGGTGGGGGCGGAGGTCGTCTGTGAACGTGGGTGAGGAGCCGAGGGTCTGAGAACGCTGGTCCCTCGCAGGTGGGGGTCCCTGGTGGATGGTGCTGCGTCCTGTCTTCTCCCCGGACTGCGTGCGGCCCGGAGCGCGGGGCGGACGGAGGGACGGGGCGGTGAGGCGAAGGGAAAGAGAGGGCTGGGGCCCCTGGGCCACTCCGTCCCGTTCCCACAAAGCTCCCCCTTTAGGGCTGGTGGGTCATCACTGGTTTCTGTGGAGCACAAATACACACACACACAGTTGTGTGCAGATGGGTGTGCACACAGACACGTGCAGAGACACGCCTGTGCACACACACACGAGCGTGCACACATGCACAGGCACACGTGGGCACATAACACAGACACAGGAGTGTGCACACGCACAGGCATGTACACATGCACAGAGACACACGTGGGCACGCACACATACAAGCGTGCGCACACACAGAATGCACACACTCAGAGACGTGTGTGCACACACACACACAAGCGCGCACACAGACAGAATGCACACTCACAGAGATGTGTGCACGCACACACATACAAGCGTGCACACAGAATGCACACACTCACAGAGACGTGTGCATGCACACACATACAAGCGCGCAGAGTGCACACACACAGAGATACACGTGCACACACACATAAGAGCGTGCAGAGTGCACACACGCAGACACGTGTGCACGCAGAGTGCACACGCAGAGACCCATGTGTGCACGCACACACATACAAGCACGCACACAGAGTGCACACATGCACAGAGACACATGTGGGCGTGCACACAAACATGGGCATGCACACAGAGTGCACACACAGAGACGGCACACACAGACATATGAGCATGCACACACGCACAGAGATACAAGTGGGCACACAACACAGATATACAAGCATGTACAGAGTGCATACATGCACAGACACATGGGCACGCACACACACACACAGGAGTGCACACAGCAACACGCAGACACACAAACACGTTGATCAGAAGGTGCCGGTCAATCCCTGTGTGGTTTCTGCACAGCGTCTCTGTCCCTGCTCCCCCAGCTGGGTTAGCGGCACCGGCCCCTCATCAGAGGGGGTGCACGGATGGACAGTATCCGAAAATGTAAGGCTCTGAAACACGAGGAACTGTATCCTAACCTGAAAGCATTTAGATTCTCAAGCCCCTGTTGGCCAGTTTCTTATTAGTGGTCATCAGCCCTCCGTCTGGGATGGCCCTGCACTGGCCACAGTCCCGATACCTTCTGGTTAAGGTGGGCTCGCGGGCACCTCTACTCTGTGCCATCTCCCCCTACACACGTCCCCTCGTCCCCTTGTTGGGGCAGCCAAATGATGGCGGTGTCACCCACCTCCCTGTCGGCCAGCATAAGCTCACACAGTTAGGATCAGCCTTTTCCCTGTAGTTGTGCATCCCTGGCGTGAGATGCTTGGAAACGCTTTTTTAGAATGGAGTTCACGGAGAGAATCAAGTGCCGGCAGGAGGTGCGAGTGGAGAGCCACCGGGGTCGCGGGGGTTTGGGCCTTGACTGTGGCCACCAGCACCGAGTTGTCATGCCCATCCCCAGGCTGTGGGCGTGACCTTGAGGTCCTAAAAGATGGGCTCTTCTGAGCAGTCACGGAGCCATGTCTGCGAGGAGCTGCTGGGGTTGCCTCGGGCAGGCAGCGCCCATGCGGGGGGAGCTGGTGCTTTCACCGGCTCTCGAGAGGGGGTGCCAGGATGGGGCATTCTGCAGAACGCTCTCTCCCACAGAACCTGGGGGACAGCCTTGACCCCAGCATCTGCACATGCGGTTTGCTGAATGACCTTTACAGCACTCGTGAGCTGCTGGGGCTGTGAGGAGAGTGTCCGGTCTTTCTCTTGTGGACAGTGCCCTCCCCCGAGTGTCCTCACTGTCTCGTGGGCGGTCCCCTCCCCCGAACATCTTCACTGTCTCGTGGATGGTCCCCTCCCCCGAGTGTCCTGTCTGTGTCTCGATGGTCCCCTTCCCCAAGCCGAGACCAACCCCAGGGAAAGCGGGGACCCCTATCACTGGTATATGCTGGTACCTTTAAGAAATGGTCTCAATTTTTCTATAAATCTTTTGCTGATTTCACTTGTTAGTTTATCCCCATTTTCTCTGCTCTGGAGTCTTAACACCAACATGTAAATCTGACGGGTCAGGGAGCTTCCAAGCCGCCACAGGAGGGAAGAGACAAGCTTACCGCAAAGCTGTGGTTGGCCACCCCTTTCCTGCCGTTGGGGTTTCTCTGCGTCAGGGATCCCCGGTACACCGACTGCCGACCAAAGGAGGCCCCGTCTTTACCTTCAGGGGCACAGAAGCGTGTCAGCAACTGTGCAAACACACTTCTTTCTCCCTTGCCTCGGAGCAAGCATTAAAATCCTGTCTCGCGGCTCCAGAAATGCTCCCTCGGGCAAAACACAACACACCATTGCATTTCCTTTAATTCTTGAAGTGCCATGGGCCTGGGGGGCCTGGGGACCCTGCTCCTCAGAAGAGGGTCCCCCCACCCGGGCTTCAGTTTAAAGCTGCGGCATTTGGTCTCACATCCTAGTCAACCGTTTGTGTTCGTGGGCACAAGTGAGCAAATCTCGGGGGTCTTCCTCCTCTGGCAGGTGTGGTGGGGGCCCTGCCTGACATGCACCTGCTCCTCGGGGGGGGGGGTGGTGGGCCACGTCTCCTCTGCCCAGCCCTGTGTCCCTTGATGTCAAGGCGGCAGCTTGACATCAGCCGCGGCGGAGTGTTTACAGCATGGAAACTGGCAGAGGCTACACAGTAGGGCTGAGTGTCACGTTTTGGCAGGGGGGCTGGCGAACGAGCTCAGGGTTCCATTGTGGGCAGAGAATGAGTTGCCGGGCTTTGCCCCCGTTCCTGCTCCTAAACTCTGTGGAGGGCGCTGCTAACCCAGCGATCCCAGCTACGGGGCACTGAACCCTTCCTGTGTGGGGACGGACGTCTGGCACACGGGTGAGAAGCCACCCCGCCGAGGCTGGCCGTGGTGACTGGAGAGGCATGTGGGGACCAGCAGCTGCAGCTGGGCCGTTTAGCCCCTGGAAAGCCCACCGCTCCAGGGGGCCCGGGACCAGGTGAGAGGCCTCTGACTGACACAGGCGCTCACCCCGTGGCCCCCCGCTGTAACCGTGAACCTTCACTTGGGTGGTAGCCATGGGGCCTGCTGGAAGCTCCCCCCAGCGCTGGTGTATGTGCCCCGCGGCAGGTGGCCTCGCTGACAAAGTCCTTCACCCCGCTCGTGGCCCTGAGTCAGGGATTCGCCTCAAAGGGCCTTGGGACCAACTCTGTCTCTGGCCTGACCTGCCCGGGTACGGGGAGCACTGGGGTGCAAAGAGGAAGCTGCACGGAGGGGAGCTGGGTGCAAACAGGGGTGTGCAAAGATGTCCCCTGAGGAGGTGGTGGAGAATGTTCTGGAGGTGGTGGAGAACCTCCTGGGAGGGGACGCTGCACTTGGCCTTCAGAAGGCAGAGGGGGGTAGGAAAGGGAGTGAGGAGCCCTCGGGGCAGAAGGCCCGGCCCAGGCAAAGGTACGGAGGTGTGTGTGCACAGAGCGCTCGACAGCCCCATGTGCCTGTGAGGTGTGTGTTGTTCACCCAGGGGTCCCGTGTGGGGCAGAAAGTGAGGGTCTGGAAGGCTGTGCTAAGAAATCCCACTCGTTCTGCAGGCAGGTGGGAGCCAATGATTATTTGGGAGCAGAAGAGGAACACAGCGCTGCGCGCTGGGACCGTGGCTGTGGGTGGTGAGGGCAGAGCTCAGATGCAGGGACAAGAGGAGATGCCACGGTGGCTCAGAGGCCTGACACAGCGGCAGAGGGACTGGATCCTGACCCGGGAAAGGGGCTGCTTCCCTCTGTGATCCTCGGTCGGGCTGCAAGGGGAGCAAGACATGATTCCCCGACAGCCTGGCCGTGCACTGTGGATGAGGCAGCCAGGCCTTTCACCCTGTTTGCGGAGCAAAGTTGATGTCCTTGTCGCCACGGAGACATCAAGGGAAGCGAAAGTTACGTTCTGTGCTTTGCATGAGAAGGCTGGGAGCTGCTTAAGCCTTAGAGCAGTTTACAAGGCAAAACGTGGAAAACACCAGCACCACCCCCATTGCGTGTTCAACCAGGCGGGTTCCAGAACACCAACCCACTGGAATGCTTCCTGGCAGGAGCGGTTTGGGGAGTCGTCCTTCAGGCCCCGGGGGGCATGAGATGCTGTGTCCCAGAGATTACACAGAAATGCAGAACACCCACTGGCCACTTTCACACCCTCCAGCTCATCTCCCAGGCCCTCGGGGTTGAGGGAAGTCACCAACTCTTACCTTGACTTTTCGGAGAATTACTGAACTTCCTTCTGAGAAGATAGGGCGCTGTCACCGCCTAGAAGAGAGAAGACATCTCAGGGCTTCACTGAATTACTGTAATCCTTAGCAACACTGGGAGCTAAATTGGGACTTCTTAGGGTTCTTCCAGATTCTAGTGAATCCGGTCAGCTGTCTTCTGTTCTTTGTCGGAACTTTTGTCAATATTAAAATACACGGTATCAATAAATGAAGCACCAAATGCCAGAGCACAAAAGAGATGCTTACATTTGTCAACGGTGGGTGGGAGGGCAGGGAGAGCACGCATCTCAGCCCCGCAGACCTGGGTTCAGATCCAGGTACCCCCCACCCACGCCCGTGATGTAGACGACTGTGTGTCTTCTCTGAACTCGTCTGGCAAAGGGGCCACTAGCCCCTTCTCAGGATTACTGGGAGCCTACCTGCTCCTCACATGTCCCCAGCTCCCATGGCTGTTGGTCCCCATGCCTTCCCTTCACTCTCCCGTTGACAGCCTCTCCGCGATGGCATCATCTGCTCCCTGTTCTGCCTCTCCGGGCACGAGCAGGTGGCCTGACCCCCCCCGGAAATCTTCCCAACGTCCGGCCCCCGAGATTCTGCCTGGCTGGTTTTGTGGGCTGCCCCTGGAGGCTGAGCTTCCCTGAGCCAGTTAGGAAGCACCGTGGCCCCCAGGAGAGGGTGGGAGGTCAGGGCCAGGGGGCCTGGGCTGAGACCCCTCCGTCCCTTATGGTCTGCGTGATCTCAATCAAGTACGTCAACCTCCCTGAGCTTGGGTTGCCTCATCGGGACAATAGGCTTAATCCCAATGCCTCCTCACCAGGTTTGTGAACCTCAAATGGAAGGGCGGGAAAAGCACTGTTTTTACCTGTAAAGAGCTACCCAGCGTCCTTGTCACGATACACACGTGACCGCGTGTTCGCTATGGCTGCTGGTGGCATCAGGCAGCAGGCAGAACTGGGAATAGATGCCACTCTTTCTGGGGCACCGGGGATGGCGCCTCCCACTGCACCCCTAACCGCACAGCCTGCACCTTGGAGACTGGGCTCCCTCCTGGCCGGCGCCTCCCCTGCACGCTGTGAATGGGGCCACCGTCTCCCACACCCCTGGTCCCCGTGCCACACTGCACGCGCCCTGGCTCCTGATGCGTCCACTGCTAGAGCTGGCACCTGCATCTCCCAGAGGGGGCCTGTCCCCAGGCCGCTGGAGCCCGCCTGCCTGCGCAGGGCCAGGAAGAGCCCGGAATGGACGGCGTCCATGAGTGACAGGTGTGCAGGGGTGCAGGCGGCCTCCTTGCCCCCACGCAGGACAACGCCCCACGCGTCCCTTTGAGCCAAACATACCTTGAGTGGGGTTTGCCGAGGTGGGAGGCTTGCTTCTCCTCCCCTCTCTGCCCCACCTTCCCGCTCCCCAGCTGGGTTTTCCTGGGTTTCCCCCACAGTCTGACGCCAACCCTGTCCCAGCATGAGCCTCTGAGGACGCCGTCCTGTGGGGCTGGCAGAGCTCACACGGTCCGTACGGGTCAGCCCACTACCACCCGGGCTCGTCCCACTGCTGGAAGAGTCGCCCCACTCTCTCGGGACGACCCATACCTCCTCCGCAGGGTCTGCATTCAGATCCTTAGGACTCTGGTCCAATCTCCCAGCAAGTCGGGGAAGAAATATCTGGAGGACAAGGAAAAAGCCTGTACCTGATGGCTGCTTGTTTGACCCCTGTCACAGGGGGGGCCAGCCGGACAGAGGGACGGCCCTTCTCCCTGAACACGGGGCCAGGCGCTCAGGGACGGCCCGTCAGCCCCCAGCGCACCACGTTCAGCGAAGTAACACACGGAGCAGCCAGTTAGCTTTGAAGTTCAGATAAACAACGAATAAGGTTTGTTTATAAGTATGTTCCAAGTATTGCACAGGGCATACATACGCTCGAAAATGATGTGTCATTTATCTGAAGTTCAAATGTACTGAGCATCCTGTATATCACCTGCAGCCGGACCTGGGGCTCTCCCGGGACCACCTTGTGTTCGGCTGCCAGGTTACCCCACTGGTGTGACCGGCCTGGGGACCCCAGCTTGACTCTGGGGAGAAGGGTGCTGGTCCCAGACCTGCAGCGGGGCTGGGGGGGGCAGCCCCCTCCCTGCCATCCCTGGAGAATCTGTTCCAGTCACATCCAGCCAGGCTGGTGGGGCTGGAAGGGAGGTGGTCAGCCGGCCTCTTGGTTTCAGGCCCCGGGGTGTGGGGGGGACAGCGGCTGGGGGGGCCGAGGTGGCCGGGGCTCTGGGCACAAAGCCAGGTGCCAGGGCCCCTGCACTCACCGGGAGGTTGGACTTCCTCCGGGGCTTTCCCGACGGCTTCACCGAGAGCCCTGCAGCCTGCAAGGCAGCAATCTTGGACTTGATGTTGGAGACCTGGCAGGAAAAAGGACGGACACACGACGTTACTCTGATGTGCCAAGTCGAAGTCACAGTCCAGGAAGAGAAGCTGCCCGTTCACTGATTTTGTTACGGTCCCCTTAAGATGGGGGTCTCGACAAACGTGCTTCCTGGGGGGCCCATTTTCATGCATCTTCCATGGTTGTCGGGGAGGGGGCTGCTGTTCCTTGTGGGTCACCCTCCAGGCAGGAGCAGGGGGGCTCTGCACACTTTCTGGCACATCAGAAAGTCTGGCTCCCCCGAGGCATGGCGAGGCGGGGCAGTGCCGGGGACAGTGTCACCATAGCTCTAAGGGACGGGGCTACATTCTGGGCAAAGGCTTGGCTGGCATGTGGCAGAGCCTGGCTTCCTGACATCATTTTAAATTGGCCCCCACAGCAGCCAGAAGAAACTTCTGGAAACAGAAACAAGGCCCCATCACCCCTGTTCTGATCCCTCCAATGGCTCTCTAGACTCTGCCCTCCCCTTGGACCTGCCTCCAACCCTCTCCCCCTTACTCCTTCTGCCCCAGGCTCAGGGTTTCACTGCTCCTTCCTGAACAACCAAGTTCAAGACCACCCCAGGACCTTTACACATGTGTGCTGCCTTCTTCTTGTAATACCCCTTCCTGAGCAGCCCACCTGGGGGCTCCACCGAGCCACCCTCACTTCCTGTTTGCCCAGCTTGCTTCAAGAACTGAGCTCCTTGGTCCTTGGCTTGTCCTCTATCTCCTCCCACGAAAGCATAAGCTCCACGAAGGCAGGGGCTCCATCTAAGAATGCGACAGCTGTGTCTTTTGTGTCCTGCCATTTGCAGGAGTTTGAAATCATTTGCCGAGCAAGAAGGAATAAAAGAACGCAAGGTCTTTGGGCTGGCTTGTCCCCCTGATGAGCACAGCTCTGGAGACATGCTCCTTACTCCCGGTGGGCACCTGATGATGAGCAGAAGTGAGAGGTGGCCGTGGGTGCTGGCTCCCCTTGCAGCCTGAGGGGGGCAGACCCTCTTTTCTCTGGGGGTCCCCAAGGGGAGGGCAGAGCCCAGTCACCTTGGCTGTCCCTGAGAGACCCTGGCTCTGTCCTTTGACCTTTATACGCTACTGACACAACCCTCACCCGAACTCAAGTCCTGGACCCACACTCGGGCTCACAGGATGGCCCTTGTGTCAGAGTCTGGTCCTGAGCCCCAGGGCTGTCCTCAGACCTAAGCCTGCTTCTGAAGAAGCCCCCTCCTCCTGGGACAGAGAGGGGTAAGCGTCAACGTCATTCCTGTAGGGATGAAAACCCTGCCTGCCTCTCACCAGGGCAAATGGGATGAAGACAGGGGTGGTGGGATAGGCTATTCCCACAGAAACCCTCAAGCTCCTGTCCTGGAGCTTCGGGTAGGCTGTCCACAGCCTCCAGAACTTCAGGGCCCACCATGATTCCACTTGGGAAGCCCCCCCCGCCCCTGGGCCTGGTGCTACCTCGCTCTCCACCTGCTGAACCTCAGAGGCCGTGAGGGCCACTCTGTCCTCCAGCTCCAGCAGGTCCTTGTCTGTGGTCCTGCCGGGCTGCACGAGGTCCTGAGGGTCCCGGGGGGTGGTTTCCTGTCTGTACGCCTGGCCGGCAGCCACGCTCACCTAAGAGAGGGAAGCATGGAACATAACCGCCAGCAGGAGAGACGTCAGGGCCCTCCCCAAGACGGGCCCATCCTACGACACTCTTTCTTCTGAACTCGGGGCTGGTTGACCAGCTGGCTGGCCAAGGGTTAAGCATCCCATGCAGCTCTTGTTGGCGCCCAGGGCCGACTGGGCGTTGCCTGGCTGCCTGGGGTGGGCCAGTGGCTTAGTCACAAGCTCTTGCCTCCTGGGCCCACCTCTGCCCAGGTCCTGCCGAGCCCACTCGGGCGGCCTCACCTCCGGCGCTGCCCCGGGGAGGTCCTTGATGGAGGGGCTCCTGTCCAGGTCTGCCTCTTCCTCCCTGCTCTCCTCCTCCTCGGATGAGGCCCCCTGGTCACTGATGTGGCTGGTCAGCTCCTCCAGCTTCCTCCTGAGGGTCTCTTCTTCTCTGTCGGCATCTGTGGGCTCGTAGCTGGTGAGACACTGAAACCAACGAACAGATCTGCGCTCAGCTGGTCATCCGTGTGCACCGTGCTCAGAGGCAGGGCTCTGGGGAAGTCTCCACCCCTTCTCCAGAAGAGCTGGCCCGCAGTGCCCGTGCTGGGGCCAGTCCCGGCCCTCAGGAACTGGGCTCCGCAGGGTGGGGCACTCCTGGTGATGCTGTCGCCACCCAGGCCAAAGACCCACCTTTTGTGAACCAGACACCGAGCTTTCCCTTGTGGACACTATTACCATGGGAGGACAGTTCTTCCCTCTGACCCTAAATGGGGTCCCCAAGCTGAGGGACTGGCCGGAGGACAACGCCACCAGCAGGAATCTGGGACCCATCACTGCAGAAGCACCGAATTCCCAAGCACTGGAAGGAAAGCTAAGGCTGCGATCTGTAACATGACCTGGGGAGGGGGCGTGAAGCCCATTTTGACACCAAGAGTTCTAGAATACCAAGCGAACCATGGGAGTGGCACCAGAAGGGAGGGTAAGGGGGTGAGCGCAGAAGAAGAGGTGACAAATTCAGTGAGCAAGGAAGCTGAATCTGAAAGGGATGATACGTCATGACCGAGGGCTAGCTTGTCTTGTCACCGCTGCTCCTGATCAGCACAGGAAGGCGCCTGTTCATGACGTCAGGCTGCTCGAACCCAAAAGTCATTAGCTGGCAAGAGCCTCGGGTCACTGTGGGCCAGGAGGTGCCAGGTAACAGCCTCAAGTGACTAAAATTACAACTTCCTCTCCCCCTGAGTCACCAGAGTCTATTAGCGCCCAGACCGAGACCCGAGAAAATCAATTCTTCCATCTTCTTCCGAGCCCAGCAGGTACGTCTTTCCTGCCATTATCTGTGGCTCACCTTTTTCAAAGGGGAATGGCCCTTGAGGGGCGGGGAAGATGCTTTTGCTTTGTTTGATGGTTAATGAGATTGATCTTCACAGCTCTGAGGCTTCGAGTGGGCCAATCTGCCCCAAGAAGAACAGGAAGCTGAGAAACGTCAGCACGAGGGTCTCGGCGAGGACTCGGAGCGGCTGCTGGTAACTGAGCCCCCCTCTGGCTGCGCTGGGCGGAGAGGTGGGGATCGATACCGGGCTGCAGGAGTGTGCACAGACCCCCGCTTCTGTGTCCTGGAGAGCACGGTGTGCAAAGGACACGTGGCCGCCACGGCAGACCCCCCGACACGGTCACTGTCAAATGTCACCCCCAGAGTGAGAAAGAAAAGCACCCCAAGACAAGGAACTGGAATTCTCATCTGGGGTTGGAGGAGAGGCAGGAGCTGAGGGGCAGCACGGAGACGCGGCCCCTCGCAGGGACCCCTGTGAGAGCCTGCCCTGGGTTTTCCCTGGCGCACCGGGCCTGCTGCCCACTTGCCTTTACACAAAGACGCGAGGGGCGCACGCCGGGTGAGATGCCGGTGGAGGTGGAGTTGGAGATGGGCTCTAAGCATGAAATAGGGAATCGTTCAAGGGGGCAGGAAGGGTGGTGGGTACCAGCAGGGCTAGATGCCAGGGCATGGACTTTACTGAAAGTTACTGAAGTTGTTAAATTAAAAACTTGCTGAGAATAGACAATTCTAGTCTTCGTTGCTGTCTTCTGACTGGGGGTTTCTCTGCCAGCCGTGGCTCTGGTCTCACCGTCCCTCCACTGCTGTGCCCCAGCCCTCCCGGACACAGAGCCCTGGTCTGATCAAAGGTCACCTTCCCGCGGGATGTTTTCCTCGCTGTTCCGTAAAAAGGGGTTCAGGCCTTAAGAAGTGTGAGCCACCCTGGGTGCAGAATAGTAGACGGCTTTCACTGCAGACCTTCTCAGGGCCTTTCACACCCTGCTGTGCTCAGGGCAGAGGGAGAGTGCACTTCTTCCAGAGACGGAGGGAGGGCACAGAGAACTTCGAGCCTGCTGGCTGTAGGAAGCTTCTGGGTGGCATTCCAGGAAAGAGAGTCAGCTGTGCCTGAGGGCACTGACTCTGGGGAGCGAGAGACTCCACATTTCTGTTCTGCTGACATTGTTGAGCCCAATTTTAAAACAAAAAACATACACCGATTGCTCAAAAGCCATGCAAGGAAGGGCTCCTTCTACAAGTCTGCTGCTTGTTTTTGGCAGATCATTTCCTGGGGCTCGGCGAGAGGACGGAGGTCGGAAGAGCCTCTGACCTTTCCTACGTCAGCTGAGACTGGGGAGCGGCCGGCACCCCACCCGCCTCATGCAGGTCCTGCCCCGTGCGGGTACATCTGCTGCTGGGGAGAGAGTTCAGCAAAGCCTGGGCCCTGTTGGGCAGCTCTACTGGTCACCGACGGCTGTGGGCCGTGCTGGTGGAGTGACAGCCAGGACTTCTAGCTGGTGGTGTGGGCTGTGGCTGTGTGAGACCAGCTCCCCCTGGGTTGTCTGAGTGCACAGAGGGGTAAGGGGCTGGGGAAGGCCCCACGCTCAACATCGGTCAGTCCTTCCACCTGTTAGCCCAGGGCTCAGCCCCTGGGTCCCCTGAAGGGAGGCTCCCCAGGTGCATCTCCCACCCCTCAAACCTCCCTGGGGAGGGTCCCAGGAGGAGCTCTGTGCCATGAATTGGAACCTGCATCAGTCCCAGCTCCTGAGAATGTGCCTGAGACCAACTGTGGCTGAGCTACGTCGGGGATTCTCCATCCAGAGCGGGGCCCTCCTCTTGGTTTTCTGCTTCCAGTTGCTCACTTACAGATGGCCCCAATCCCAGGGTCTCCTCCGTAGGCGTTGGGCCTGACCCGGGTCTTTGGTGAGTCTGTGTGAGCCTAGTGGCCATGCTGTCCTCGTACGAAGCATTGTCGTCTTCCCCCAGTAAAGTGTACTTGCTCAGCCCTAAATCAGTTGTCTGTAAGCAGGACCACGGTTTAAATTCAGTAAAGGGAACCCGGGGTACTCAGGGGAACCTTGTGGTTTAGGTCATAAATCAGGGTCTGCAATGTGAGGGAGTCGCACTACTTTAACAGGTGTTACATATTCTAAGTTAAATTTTCTTAAAACCTGCATAAGGTCTGCTAAAGGTATAAAAAAATGGAGTATTTCCTTCTCTTGTCAATGACAGAATACTTGATCCAGGATAAAGTATTTGCATCCAAAGGAATCAAGCACTGACATGAGCTACAATATGGACGAGCCTCGAAAACGTGACGCTGTGCGCAGGAAGCCAGGCACGGAAGTCACGTGGCAAACGCTTCCGTCTAGATGCAATGCGCAGAACAGGCGAAGCCAGGAGACAGGAAGCAGGCTGGCGGCTGGCCAAGGCTGGAGGGAGGGGACGGGGCGCGACTGCTCACAGGATCAGTTTCCCTTTGGGCCGATGACGTTTGGGGACCAAGAGAAGTACAACGGTGTGAATGTACTAAGTGCGAGTGAATGCCCACTTCAGGACGCTGAATTGTATGTTCCGTGAATTTCACGCTGATAGAACAGTGGCTAGTTTGAAGATATCACATGCACGTCTGCTACATAGGCTTGGGCAAACGTGCAGTTTTAAAGTACTGGAAGCTTTGATTTCTCTGACATGACATGGCGTGAAGGTAAAACGGCTCCACCCAAAGCAGCAGCAAGAAGGAACTGTTCGCAGCTGCCTTACCTGGCTCTGGGACGGAGAGCGGCCTCTCTGTCCGGAATGGCAGGAGGCCGCGCTGGGGGCCCGGGTGCTCTCGTCATCGGAGGTGTCCACGGCGGCCAGATACCGGGAGGGGAGCTGCTCAGTCCCGATGGCACTCGTCCCTTTGGAGTGAGAGTGGGATCAAGTTCCTCAGAGCGAAAAGCCGGAGGCCAGGGGACACGTTTTTCCCAATGAGGGAAAACGAGAGATGAGGGAAACCACAGACGTGATTACAGCCCCCTGAGGGGAGGGAGCCGAGAACCTCAGATCCAAGTGGGAACGGAGCAATGGCAAGCCCTCACATGCAAGCTTCAGGAACCAGGGCCCTGCCTGGCACTCTCGGTGGGGCCAGGGCAGCAGAGAGGTACATGGCTGGTGGGAGGATCAGAGCGCACCGCATTCCACCACCGGGACCCGTGTGCCCGGAGTGCGGCCCATGCGGGGCCCGGGGAGGGTCTGTGAGTGGAGGGGACGTTGGGAATCTTTCCACATTGGTCTCCACGGGCTTTTCCTCATGCCTGACATTACGTGGACCCCAGTCATTCACGATGTGCCTGGAAATGCTCATCCTGGGCTCCAGATGAGGGGGGGAAGCTTACTACCCCCATGGCCTCACCAAAGGTCCCCAGGGCTCCAGGCAGCCCGGACGGCGCCGCACACACCACCCTGGGACATGGAGCGGGAAGGAGGTGCGGCCGGGGCCGACCACACGGGAGCCCCTGCACCAGGGAGTCACTGGGGCTCTTCTGCCCTCAACGGCACCAGGCCCCACTGGCTCGGTGAGCCTTGCCAAACACCTGAGCAAGCTTGGGGGAGGGCCCCGAGTTCCAGCGGGATCCTAGCCCCAGGCCCCGCTGGTTTCAGCCTGGGAGCCCGCGCGCTGAGCACACAGTGAGGCTGCGCCCCGGCTCCCGGCCACAGGAATAGACAGGATGGAGGTGCGCTGTTTTAAGCCGACAGGTTTGCGATGCTACGGTCTCGTTTAGTGTCTACAACCATGCCGCACAACGGGCGTGAAGCCCTCTTCACGGTGAGGAGAAACCGAATCACAGTGGCTAAGCAGGTGGATCGAGCGGCATGCCACGTTCCACCAAACCTCAGATGGCGCACCTGCGGGTTGTCTGATGCATCTTTAGACAACGCTACCCATCAAACTCCTACATGTCCCCGTGAGAGGCTCCCAGTTTAAGGGAGGAGGTGAAAACTGTGCTGGTTGGTCAGAAACGCGGTCTCCCTCGGCCTCTCCCTCCCCGCCCGCCGCCCTGTCCGCGTCCTCAGGGGGGCGTGGGATCACGGTGGGGCGGGCGCGGAGTCTGTGCACGTCCCCGTTTGTCCCCGTCCTAGGACTTGTTCAATGTAGATTCGTTTATTCACTGTTTACAGGGAATTAAAGCCCCATGTTCCTCCCAAAATGCCTCCAGCATCCTAATCAGCCTGTGGACCATGAGATTACAGTTCCTATAATATAATGAGAAGGAAACACAGAAAGGGGACTGAGTTCCCGGCAGACGGTGTCTTAACCACTTTTCCCGGCAGCTGGCCCCACGCGGTGGCCACGTGGGGGCTCGTGAGCGGGAGGGCCGGGCTGCCTCTGCGGTCTCATCTGCTCCTGCGTCCGTAGGGTGTCCGAACTCCTGAACCCACACTCCCCCAGGGCACAGGAAAAGACAGCAATTCAGGATTTCGTTATGAAGCACACTGTCTGACAACAAAATTAAACTGAGCAAGTCTAGGTTCTCAGCACTTGCAGAGACCTCGAGATTCAAAGCTGGGAGCTGGTGGTGGACCAGGGGAAGCAGTGCCCAAACAGAACCTGCCCCACCGTCCCCAAGTGCACCGTCCGTCCCCAAGTGCACCGTCCGTCCCCA